CCGGAAGCTGTACGCCGGCTCCCTCGGCCAGTAAAGCGAGATGAGCGCCGCAACCCCAGAGTCGGCCACGACTGGACCCAATGGTCAGGGGTCCCTTTACCTTTATCCTCGTAGCCTGCCCAGATCTCTCATGCATGCAACTGTATTTCCTGGAACCAAGCACTTTGTTTCAGTGCCTTGTAATTTCAAACATTTTCCAATAAAAATATTAAGCTATTTAGACAGTAAAGTAGTTGCATATCGGCTCATGTGATCATCAGTTGTGGTTACACAATCCTTAAATGAGCAGTGTAGTGAAAACATGTTAGTTACTGCGGCAATTACCTTGAGCAGTTCAGTATTTATCTAGGCATATGTTCTAGTCAGCCAGTGGAAAAAACCTCTTTTGACTCGTGCAATAATCTAGTCAGTCAGGGGAATAACTGCAGGTTGGTTGCTTCCAGTTCAGGTGTGCTGTTGTTTTGTTAGCAATTTAAGAAATCAGACCACACTCAGACTTGATACAACCGTGATGAAGCTGTCAACAAAGTGTTGTCAAAAATAGATTTCTGCTTTATTAGGGCTAGAAGAACAGGCAGGAAGTAACTTTAAATCCAAATGGGACACCGTTTCCAGTACTGTGCTTGCTCAGGAAGTTTGGGAATCAGATCTTTATAAATGGCCCAGAAACTCCTTCCTTTTTGAAGTTAGGCTGAGCAAAATATGTTTTTTTAACAAGATAATGCTGGCAGTGTGGTAACTCAGTAGCTGATTTTTCTTCCTATATTATATTTCCACTCATCAGTCGTCACACTGAGGACTGAGTGTGGATGCATCCACAGCCCAGGAGGCCTTTGCTGTCACTGCCACCATTGGTGAGGTGAAGGGAATAAAGGGGAGAAGCTCTTTCTCGTCTTTGTCCGCGCCTCCTCCCTGCCTCTGGTCCTGCTGAGGGTGATGCAGGTGGCGCTATGGTCTAAACAGTAATAGTAATTTATTATTTGTACCCTGCCCATCTGGCTGGGTTTCCCCAGCCACTCTGGGCAGCTTCCAACAAAGATTAAAAATACATTAAAATGTCACACATTAAAAACTTCCCTCAACAGGGCTGCCTTCAGATGCCTTCTAAAAGTCTGGTAGTTGTTGTTATCTTTGACATCTGATGGGAGGGTGTTCCACAGGACGGGCGCCACTACCGAGAAGGCCCTCTGCCTGGTTCCCTGTAGCTTAGCTTCTCACAGTGAGGGAACTGCCAGAAGGCCCTCGGCGCTGGACCTCAGTGTCCGGGCAGAATGATGGGGGTGGAGATGCTCCTTCAGGTATGCTGAGCCGAGGCTGTTTAGGGCTTCTAAAATTAACCACCGAGCCTCTTGGGCTTATCGATCAGAAGATCGACGGTTTGAATCCCTGCGATGGGGTGAGCTCCTGTTGCTCAGTCCCTGCTCCTGCCAACCTAGCAGTTCAGAAGCATGCCAGCAAAAATAGATAAACAGGTACCGCTATGGCAGGAAGGTAAATGGCGTTTCCGTGCGCTCTGGTTTCCCTCACAGTGTTCCGTTGTGCCAGAAGCGGTTTTGTCATGCTGACCCAGAAAGCTGACTGTGGAGAAACGCCAGTTCTCTCGGTCTGAAAATGAGATGAGTGCCACAACCCCATAGTCACCTTTGACTGGACTTAACTGTCCAGGGGTCTTTTACCTTGAGGATGACAAGAAAAGGAAGCCTGAAACCCTCACCAATACATTTAAAGCACATCAAACACATTTAAAGGACACAACCTCTCCCAAAGAATCCTGGGATCTGTAAAGCTTGCTTTTATTTTATTTCATAAAATTTATATACTGCTCAATTGTTGTTTTTAAAAACACCCTCTTAAGGGTGCTGGAAACTGTAGGTCTGTGAGGAGAAAACTACAGTTCCTAAGAATTCTTTGGGGAAAGTCATGTTCTTTCAATGCATGCCAAAGGAGTTTTAAATGTGTGGTGTGGATCTGCCCATAATTATGTGGCTATTATGTGATAATTACTTTTGTGACTGTGAACCAGGTCATACGCCCTGTCTGCTAAGTTGTTGTTTCCTGCTCTGTACTCTGTGCCTCTTTCTACATGTCAAAGAATTTTGCAGCTGCAAAAGTGGGTTGCATATCTTGCCAGAACTTCCATAATGTTTTTTGGAGTCTAGAGCCGTTACTCAACGAGAGTGAAATGCATTGCTTGATGTCTATAATGTTCTCAGCTCCGAGGGCCTTCTGGCAGTTCCCTCAATGCGAAAAGTGAGGTTACAGTGAACCAGGCAGAGGGCCTTCTTGGTAGTGGCGCCTGCCCTGTGGAATGCTCTCCCACCAGATGTCAAGGAAATAAACAACTACAGTGGAACCTCGGTTGTTGAACGTAATCCGTTCCGGAAGACCGTTTGACTTCCGAAATATTCAACCATGGGCGGTAGACAAATCCCACTGAGAAAACTGAGAATCGCACATCGGAAGCCGTTCAACTTCTGAGGTGCGTTCGAAAACGGAAGCAATTACTTCCAGGTTTTCGGCATTCGGAAACCCAAACGTTCAGCTTCCGAGACACTTGAAAACCAAGGTTTCACTGTATCTGACTTTTAGAAAACATCTGAAGGCAGTCCTGTTTTGGGAAGTTTTAAATGCTTGATGTTTTATCGTGTTTTTAATATTCTGTTGGGAGCTGCCCAGAGTGGCTGGGGAAATGCAGCCAGATGGGCAGGGTATAATAAATAAATAAATAAATAAATAAATAAATAAATAAATAAAATAATAATTTTGATGGTTCTCCATATTTGTCTGTTAATGCCTACTTTAAGTGCTGCTCTATTGCAATGCCATTCACCACTGAACCAACTGCTTGTCCTATAGTGGTTTATTTGCACATTTTAAATGTATTGAAATCTTTTATTTTCAGGAGGTATTTCATGTGCAACATTACGGTACATTAGACCATTAGGCTATGTAGATAGGCTTCTGAATATTTTATTCTCATTATGAATACCTTACATCAAAGCCTCAGTGACCTGCAATGAAAATAACTATCAAATGAGTATACAAAATATATATACACAACAATCTTGATATATTCCAGTTCATTCAGACTTTCATCATTGGTTAAGTGATCAGCATTATGGTGTGCAAATGTGTTGATTACAGCTAATCAAAGCAGAAATAGAGTGCTGTCAGAACTTCTCTATTGTTTCAGAAAATGGTTTGAATTTACCATTCAGATATAAGCCCCCACCTACAAACAGCCAAGGGAAAAATTAAGAAGAAAATGACAGGCTGCTATTGTCTGCTCTCTACAACAGAGTTCCATTGTATGGCTTTTCAGCGCTGATTCTTCCATTAAAAGGGACAGCTTTAAAATCTTTCTTAACTCAGTAGGGGAAATGTTACATGGGTCAATACTGGAAGATTTTAGGTTTATGAAAGAACAAGTCTTTCCCATCCATCCCACAATCCCCTCTTCATTGATGAGGTCAAACAATTGAATAAACTTGGGAGACATGCACAGGTTTCTACCGTCTAAGCCCAAAATGTAGAAGTGAAAAGGAGAACGCAGTAGTAGAATGATCATTGTTTAAAATCCGATCTATCAGAGCAGCATTGATGGCAAGCAGAGCTGCTCTCCAGTATGTTGAATGATGTTCAGCGTTAGGCAATTACTGAGTGTGGGACTAACAATGGAATGACGTCTTCATATCAATGAGCCAACTCAAATTATCTAAAAGCTTAATCTTTGCTACGCCTTTAATCCATTCCCGTTAGATATGCAGTTCATAATTGAAAGGATCCTTACAAGAAGTGGGAGACTATCTAGAAACTGCCCCCTGCAAACTTCTCTTCCTAATAACGAACTTTGGACAAGCTCTGCTGAAACTAATGAAGTCTGCAAAGCCACCATAGCGCCTGATGAATTGCTCCCATAAGGTTTCAAGTTACCTGGTTGGATGCTTGAATTAGCTAAGTGGATTTCCATTTAAGCAGGTGGTCTATAAATTAGTCACTCAGTTTTTGATTGAAATCTATTAGCATAATTGTTCGTAACAACAACAACAATATTCCCCCCCCCTTACTTTTTGGTAAAAGATTTTATACATTTCCTAGAAACTGCAAGAACAGTACAATAAGAAGAAGAAGAAAAGATGCTCAGAAATGCAAGCCAAACCATTGCTTCCTCACTGAAGGACCATTTAGCATGGGCCTCCAGACAGCTTCATCTGCAAATCTCCACTTCTTAAGAAGGAAAAGGAGTACTTATTCCAGCCACAGTCTTCTATCAAGAGCAGGGGTCAGCAAGGTTTACCTCGCCTGGGCCGGTTCACTCCAGCGGAGATCCCTCTGTGGGCTGGATCGCGCGCGCGCATAAGCATGTGCGCCCACGGTTTTCTAGCGTCTGCACAGACGCGATTTTCAGCATCTGCACAGATGCAATTTTTGGCGCAGACGTGCTTTTCAGCGCCGCAGAAGCGAGTCCCCATGCTGCGCTGCACCAGTTTAGTGCAGTGCGCGGGGACTCACCGAACGGAGGCTCGGTTAAACGACCCCCGTGGGCCGCTTGTGGCCCATGGGCCTTAGGTTGCCGACCCCTGATCAAGTGTATCTCTCCACTGACTGCCAAGGTAACAGGAATGTGGTGACGGAAGCACTTAAGTGGGAGCACTAGCAGCTGGGAGGGAGGGATATTCTATCCCCCACCCTGCACCCATCACTTCTCCCAGAATTTGCTCCCCTCTGGGAGTAGAAGAAACCTAAAGGGGAGTAGTGGCAGCTTACTGGAGCGCTTCTGATGCAACTGGCCTGCCTAGGTTGTTGCTCATGGAAAGAAGGAAGAAAAAGAAACTGTTAAGTTGTGGGTGAACATATCAGACGACACAGCGATTCTTCAAACAGCTCTTGTTTATTCACAGGCCAGAACAAAACTGAACAGAAGGGTTCAGCCAGCCTGCTTATATACAGCTCCAGTACAACATAACTGTAACAATTTTCTAAAACTATCCAATCACTGAACGTCACTTTCGATCCCTTATTTGCATAACTATCTACAGTATCCCCCTGCTGGCCCAGGGTGAGAACTTCAGTACATAACAGAAACATTCCCCCCTTCCTGTACAGAGGTATCTTCCTGGAGCACAACTGGGTTGTGTCCCTCTCAATATTTCAATTAAAACATTCATTTAAGATCAAAGAGAGGTTTCTGTGATATTTACAAGGATTCCACTCCCACCCACCCACCCACAATTCTCAGTTTCATGGAGACCAGGGTTGGGAAGACAGTCAAATAAATGGTGATGCAGCATGGCAGGTAATGAAGAATTCGGGAGGGTTAGATTGTCAGCAACCGCATCTCCTCCAAGTCAGGGTGTGGGCCAACAATTTGGCTGAAGGTCTTCTGCACAAGTTGGAGGAACACAGCGACTGTAAAGCAGGGAAAGCATGCCTTGTCAGGGCATTAAGTGACGCAGATTCCGGAGTGATCATTAAAGCATTTGAAAACGAATGTGTGATTTTGGCCTTAACCTGTATTAGCCCAAATGTGCTGACTCCGTGTGGTTTGCAGATCTGGCTGGCTGTGACTCAGTGAAAGTTAATCTGTTTGATATTAAAAGACTGCTGGTTCATGACACTATTTGATTCATTAGAGACATTATTGCTTAACTCCTGTGATGTTATCTTCCACCCACTACAGGACTGGATAATAGACACCCAGGAGCAGCGGTGTAAATACCTCACATAAAAGCCACCTGAGGGTATGAATCTTCTCCATCTCTGGCGTGTGGAGACAGAGCACATCAAAATATTTAGGTGTTGGCTCGCTGCAGTCATGATGAAGAAATGTCTTCCAGCAGGAAGGAAACCTCCAGCAGACATTTCACCAAAATTCACTGACTGAATAAATCGTGAAAGCAACCAGCTTGTGTTTGTTTCTATACTTATCTGAAAGTGAGCATGACATCGATTTGTGCAAAGTGTTTTTTCAAGAGTTCTGCAGTACACCTATTGAACGGAGAAATGAACCAACAGGACTTACCCTTATTTCCTAATCCAGATACTTGGATGTAAACATTGAGGACATACCGTATTTTTCGCTCCATAAGACGCACTTTTTTCTTCCTAAAAAGTAAGGGGAAATGTCTGTGCGTCTTATGGAGCGAATGTGTGGTCCCTGGAGCCGAATTGCCCAGGGGCAAAAAGCAGATTGTGCTTTTTTTTTTTTTTTTTTTTGAAAGAGGGAAGTGAGTGTTGAAACAAAGCTGCTGATCAGCAAGCGATTGGGAAGGAGATAAGGGACGCTAGAGATAAAGGAGGCTGCCTGGGAGGGGGGAGGTAAAGAGCGAACTTGCAAAGGGGGAAAACAGGAAGACTAAAGCAATAAGGAGAGAAATTAGAAGAAAAGGAGGAGCAAAAAACTGCTCCAGCTAAGGAAAAGACACTAAGGCAAAAAAGAGGGAAGGGAGTGTTGAAAGGAAGCAGCTGATCAGCAAGTGATCAGGAGGGAGATAAGGGACGCTAGCGATAAAGGAGGCTGCCTGGGAGGGGGCAGGTAAAAGCCTATGGGTCCTCAGGATTTTTGCATTGGATCACCCCAAACCCACCGTCAAATCACATGTCTGTGGCCACAGCATGAACCATAAAAATCATATATCCACTGTTTCATTCAGAATATTTTTTTTCTTGTTTTCCTCCTCTGAAAACCAGGTGTGTCTTATGGAGCAAAAAATACGGTACATTTAAAGCACACGACTTCCCCGCAAAGAATCCTGGAAACTGCAGTTTGTTAAGGGAACTGTAGCTCTCTGAGGTGTAAACTAAAGTTCCCAGGATTCTGGGAGGAAATGTGCTTTAAACACATGATATGTTATGTAGCCTGCGACAATTTGGGAGTGGTTTCCATTGTGTTCATTTTACCCTGGGACTTCCCAGGGTTCTCCAACTGCCATCAACCTTGGCTAGCATGACCAATGGTCAGGGATGATGAGAGCCACCATCGAATAGCATCTAGAGGTTCACAGGTCACCCATGCCGTTAAATAATCAAGGTGCATTGTATATCAACGATGGACTGTTGGTCTATTTGTGGGGGAAACTCTATGATGTGCCCAAGATTCTGAGAAGACTAAAAAGAAGACTAAGAGAGTCTGTTCAAACCAGTAATTACTTGTTACAAAAATATTATTTTTAACACTCAGATGTTGAGTGCTAGGACTTACAGGGGGAGCGTGGAGTTCCTCTGGGAATTATTAACATAAGAACTGAAGATAACTTAGAATTTGCTTTCTGTTAAGGTTTGTTCCAAAACGATGAGGATTAGTTCTATATTCCAGTAACAGTTTTCTAGGTTTTGTCAAAAAGGCCATTAGAGTAAAAGCTTAGGGAAGAGAACCGCTACAAACCATCGTGTATTAATTGCTTCTCTTAAGACAATGGCTTTCCCGAATTGTCGTGAATGGGTCACCCAACCCCCGCCCATCGTTGGTGAGTCCTGCACATCAGTAATTAATGGTTGCTTTGTTACGACTTTGGCTCTAATGGATAAACTAGTGAATCAATTGAAGTCAGTGAAGCTCGCACAACTATTCCTATTGTCCGCCCTGATCCCATGAAACCCCTTATGCCAAACTGATTAGATTTACTGTTCACTTGCTTAGCTTGTCTGTTCACAACAGCATAATGCAATCAAGCATTTTGAAGAGCGAAACTGGAGCTCCACAGAGGAATGGGATGGCGGGGGCTTCCTTACAAAGTGTGTGTGTGTGTGTGTGTGTACGTTTATTCCTTTAGCCCTTTCCTCCTTTCATTCAGGACTGGCTGGAGGCTAATTTTAAACCCCTCCCCCCAAAAAAACCCACCCCACGCTCATCCACTTCCCGTCTGGCATGTCTCTTTATTTGGCAAAGTTTTATTCCTTTAAAAAAGGTTTCTGGCATGAAATAGTGAATGGACTTTGCTTGGCAGGGGGTGAGAGTGAAAATAAGCACATTATAAAGGAGGAGAGAAATAAGAAAAAAAGCCAGCATTTCGATACAATGGCTGTTTAAAAACGCTCTGTAACTAGGCCCCAACTCTGCAAAGATTTAGGTAAGCAAAACCTTTTAAGTACTGTAGATCCATTGGCTGGAATAAAACTGCTTTTAGTGAAGAAATGTAAGCATAAATGGAAAACCCCTTTGGCCTTAAAAGTTATAGTTAGAAATAACTGGGTAGATAATAGCCAAAACAAAGGTTAAGGTGGAAAACATAAACCAATAGAAAGCATTGAAAGCAAATGTACTTACAGAGGCCCCGATTCTTTGTTTGCGTGTTTCACCAAAACAAGCAATGTTTGTGGTAAGATATAAGTGAATGGGTGAACATCAAACAGTACTTTTTCTGTTTTCACTCAACAGCCACTTCTCACTTTAGATTATTTGAAGTATACACCTGAAAATGTAAATAACACAAACAAATAAATACTAGGCAAGCACCCCCATTATACTGTTTTTGATGCCAGCCTTAAAAAAGAAAAAAATGTATGGACAGGCAAACAGATAATTTTATTATATCTATTTGTTTTTAAAACTTGATTTTATGTGTATTTGATCATTTTATTAGGCCTACTTATTTTCAACATCTGTTGATTTCTATCTGCATATCCTTAAGGTTTTATATTTATTTTGTATGTACTGTAAACTGCTTACAGGTTGGTGTTTTTAAATTAACTGTATAAATATATGTGTTTGGACACATGTCTGTCATGCAGGTACACTCATCAAGATGCGAGAATGGTTGCAGCAGCTCCTAATTAAACACACACACACACACACACAAGTGGCAAAATCTAATTGTCCGACATCTAATGTGTGGGAGCAATCAGAGCTACTTTTGTCAATGTTGAAATAGTGCTGATGTACTCATTGTGGCTGAATGTTATCAGATCCCTTCACAGGCTTCCTGTCTCCAGCCCAAACTCCTTGTCCTCACTTTAACATGACCTTGCCTCGTCTTCTGACCCTTGTTTCTCTTCAGATCCCTGCTTGCGACGTGTGCTCTTCCAGATCTACTACCTTCAGTGAACAAAAGGACTTCTGCTCCCTTAAACTGCTCCACCCACTCTCCCTCACTACCCCCTATATGCATGCAGTGCCACACTGTCTCTCTCACTTCCTTTCAATTTGTCATGAGTTTAGACAGTCTTGATTTACTCTGAATTGATATATGCTACGGTTTTGTCTAAAGTGTCGTGGCTGTGGGTGAGAATTGGTGTTTTGACTGAAGAGCCTTCATGTTTCTTAAAGGCGGGTTCTCCAAAGTTGACTTTGGAGGACAAGCTGACTTTCCCAGTCCAATCCCCAGCTGGGGGGGGGGGGGGTTGAACCTGCTACCATCTGAATGAAAACCAAGTGCTTTCCTAACGAGCTACAGCCCCCACCCCAAGCCACATAGTCCACATGCAATTCTGTAACTCTAACCCCACATCCTAGATGTTACTCCATCAAGATAACTAAAAGTATCTATAGCACCATGAAATTCTCCTAAGCTTGAACTAGCGTAGAAACGACCTAGAGCAGTGTTTTCCAACCTTGGGTCTCCAGCTGTTTTTGGATTACAACTCCCATCATCCCTGACCACTGGTCCTGCTAGCTAGGAATGATGGGAGTTGTAGTCCAAAAACAGCTGGCGACCCAAAGTTGGGAAACACTGACCTAGAGATTTTCAGCTTGCATTTACTGTGCTGTCTAATACCACAGTCTTTTCTACCGAGGCTCTCAAAGGGACTCCCAAAACCAAACCTACTTCCACAAAATAATCTACGTACTGTAAACACAGAAGCGCTGAGAGGTTCACATAGGAGGTATCTGAGAACAGTGGTACCTCGGGTTAAGTACTTAATTCGTTCCGGAGATCCGTTCTTAACCTGAAACTGTTCTTAACCTGAAGCACCACTTTAGCTATTGGGGCCTCCTGCTGCCGCTGTGCTGCCAGAGCCTGATTTCTGTTCTTATGCTGAAGCAAAGTTCTTAACCCGAAGCACTATTTCTGGGTTAACAGAGTCTGTAACCTGAAGCGTATGTAACCCGAGGTACCACTGTACTTAAATCCAAATATGTATTGGTATTGTCAGTGGTTTCTGACAGTCCTGTGCTGAAATGTAGACCCTGAGCGATGCTTAACAGTGGCGATTTATTATCTCCCAGACTCTCGTCTCGTGTAACACAACTGCCCCAGCTAACAGACCTCTTTGCGTTCTGGTAACTAACGGCAACTATGCAGAGGTTTTGCTTACATGGGGAAATGAAGCCATTGTCCGGGGCAAATAGCTCAGGCCTTCGTTTACCAAAAAAACACTCTCTGTGCTGCTGACTCAGTCCTTTGGCGGTTCTACTTTGGAGGGAGACGAGTCCAGTTGTCAGTGCGCTGTTCCTTTTGCAGCTTGCGTGCAAGGAAGAGAAAGAAATGAACGGAGCTTAGCACACTTTAAAAACAAACATTTTTACTGCGGCTTGACATGGTCCGCTTTAAGCTAGCATGAAGCAAGCACCGACATGCAGTGCAGAATGAATACCTAAGGCACACACTTCGTTTCAATGATCTTCTATTATGTGCTACCAAGATGCTCAACGTTATGGAGGGAGGAGCTGCAGGATCAGGCCAGTGGTCCATCGAGTCCAGCATCCTATTCTCATAGTAACCAACCAGATGGCTATGGGAAGTCCACAAAGAGGACCCAAGCACAGGAACACTCTTCCCTCCTATGATTTCTAGCAACTGGAATTCAGAATGTCCCTATTTTCATCAGAGAAATGTTGGAGGGTATGGAAACATACAGCCTCCAACCATGAAGGCAGAGCATAGCCATCGTGACTAATAGCCACTGATAGCCTTTACCTCCGCGAATCTGTCTAATCCAAGATGGCGGCCGCCACTGCTGCCTCCTGTGGGAGCCAAACATCCCACAGCGCTAAGATGGCTACAGGACTCCTACCCATGATTTGAATGGTACTTAAAACCCTGGACTGCCAGATTGCAATTACTGACATTCAGAACAAACCTATTCGGAGTTTTTTACAGAGTTTTATTCTAAAATGCATTGATTGTAATCTAGGGGAGGGCGGAATCGTATATTTGGTTTACGAACTCGTTTCACCTGCTGCCTGAAAGATACACAGCTGTGTGTTCAACATACACCAACAAAATTATACACTTCAGGCCAAATACATGTGCAAATTTGCTTTTTTTGTGTCCCTCTGACAGATGAAGACTTTAGCGATGAAAGAGACCATTCTTAAAGTGTATCCAGAAGGCAGATTGGAGTGCCTCATTTGGCTCCAGCTCCCTACGCACCTTTCCCCCCTCTTTAAAAATGAACATTTCAGCTTCAACCCTATCATTAGGCAAAGAATCGTTACATTGATGAGGAGAGCACTGCTGGCACGGCTACAGCTCAATATGGAACCCCAGCAGGCCCACATCTTGCAGTGCGCTTGGCAGAGTCCCAGCATGCCATTAATAAACAGGCAGCTGAAAATCCAGCGATGGCAGGACACGTGTGAGCTGGAGAGACTCACAGCTTACATCTTGCCGAGAGACCATCCTTGGCAACAATGACTTCCACAGAAACGTATTTATTACTTTTTTAAAAAAAAAACAACCCCTGCATCCTGCCATTTCTTCCCGAAAGCAGCTCACAATAAAAACAAATTATTATTATTATTATTATTATTATTATTATTATTATTTAGTCACTTTCCACCCAAAGGGTTTTCTAGCAATTTACATTGAAAAATATATCCAGAAATAAATTACAGTGGTACCTCGGAAGTCGAACGGAAACCATTCCAGAAGTCTGTTCGACTTCCAAAACGTTTGGAAACCAAAGCGTGGGTTCCAATTGGCTGGAGGAGTTTGGATTTGATATCCCGCTTTATCACTACCCAAAGGAGTCTCAAAGCGGCTAACATTCTCCTTTCCCTTCCTCCCCCACAACAAACACTCTGTGAGGTGAGTGGGGCTGAGAGACGTCAGAGAAGTGTGACTAGCCCAAGGTCTCCCAGCAGCTGCATGTGGAGGAGCAGGGAATCAAACCCGGTTCACCAGATTACGAGTCCATCGCTCTTAACCACTGCACCACACTGGCTCTCTGCACCACACAGGAAGCTGCTGCAGCCAATCGGAAGCAGCGGAAGCCCCGTTGGACGTTCGGGTTCCAAAGAACGTTTGAAAACTGGAAGAGTCACTTCCAGGTCTGCGGTGTTTGGGAACCAAAACATTCAACAACTCACAAGGTGTTCGGAATCGGGATCCAAGGTACGACTGTATGCCCTGGGAAGAAAGGAGGAATCATATAACACATTAATATTCCATACAACATACTGTTTTGGAAAAACCAACCAACCAACCACATTACAACCAGGTAACCACAACTTTCCAGCCTTAGCTCTAATCAATCTTTAAGTCTTTATTTCCTATTGATAATTAGGAACATAGGAAACTGAGTGAACTCTACCTGGCTTCCCCTGAACAGATGATACGTTGCAATTTTTTTTGCTGATACCAGGAAAGCTTTTTTTGCGGTGGAAGCAAGAGAAAAGAAGCAGAGAGATACCTAGAAAGTTGAGGAGCAGCTCCACATCGGATGCGGCCAAGGTATTTGCTGTAGGTAGAACACATCAACCTGTCCTCCGGCAAATATACCAATTGCAACGGAGTCGGCCTTAAGTACACATATAACCAGAGAGCTGTGGGGAGGATGTGTCTTGTCATTCGTACTTTAGGTGGTTGTTTACGGAGGCACCAGGGCAACACCTGAAGCAAACACAATTGCAGGGTCAGGTGGTCCTAGGTTGCCAGATAGTGAGCTCGTCTGTCCGACACATGAACCACAGGACCTTGAAACATTCATGCACTCATGTCACGCAGGAGCTGCCCAGTCAAGGCTCCTAGGTGCATGCACACATAGGTGTGTAAGGGCATGTGCCCGTCATTCACACACCTCAGTTGTTTGCTGCAGGAAATGACAGCAGAACACCGTCTGCAGCGAGGAAGAATGGAGCCACTCGGTTTCATATTGGTTTAGAATTTTTGGCTTGGCACAGGAGCATGGAATGTGTGCAAGGCCAGAAAGGAGCTCCTTCACGAGGGCATATTATTATGGCTTAGATTTCGCAGACAGCCGGTGTGTTGTAGGCATGGGAATCTCGGTCTAGGTGCGCTGAAATCCATGTTCGAATACCAACCTACCAACCATGAAGGTCACTGAGAGGTCTTGGGCTATATGCTATGCTTTCTCTCTACTGAGCTGACAGGGTCCTTATGAGAACAAAATGTCTGTGGGCGAAGGGGAAGATTCATTGCCTATGGGTGCCTTGCGCTCCTTGTATGAGTGGGATATAAATAGATAAATAGCTACAAGCTGGGGCTCGCAGGGCTAACTACATCTTCCTAGACCACTCTATTCTTCCTTGGTCAGACCACACTTGGAATACTGTCTCCAATAAAAGGCACCCCAATTTAGGAAGGATGTTGACAAGCTGGAAGGTGTGCAGAGGAGGGCAACCAAGATGATCAAGAGTCTGGAAACCAAGCCTCCTTATGAGGAACGGTTGAAGGAGCTGGGTATGTTTAGCTTGGGAAAGATTTTGGCAGAAAGCCAATCTCCACCATCTGTCCCAGAAAGTTGTCATCTCTGGTTTGGGGGGGGGCGGGATCTCACATACGAAAGAATGGTGGTATATATAAATTTAATAAATAATAACAATAAGAATAGCAACAACACACTAACAACAGTGAAGCTGGACAGCACCCTAATATTGGAGAACAGTGAGTCTCTGGCTGTTAACCAGAAAGTTGGCGGTTCGAGTCCTGTGGGCAGAATTCCTGCATTGCAGCAGGGCGTTTGGACTACATGACCCTCGAGATCCGTGCCAACTCTGCGATTCTTATGAACACGCCCCAATCTGTTCCTGGAGAGCGGTCAGCCCGAGCGATTCCAGCCGCCTTGACTCAGATTTTCTGGGCAAGAGGCAAAGCGGAGTTCCGGCAGGCCGGGCTGGGCTGGGCAGGGCAGGGCAAGGCAAGAGCGCGGCAAGGCAGCCGTGCGCGCTCGGGGAGAGACGGGGCGGGGCTCCGCGCTTGTTGTTCGTCACTTGGTGCAAAGCCCGAGCGAGTCTCCGGAGAGAACAACGAGCTCATTCACGGAGTGGCAGCGAGGCGGGCAGCCAAACCGGGCGAGGAGCGCGCCCCGCCAGCCTGGATTTTCCTACTCGCCCTCCATCCAGCGACAAGCCCTTCCCCGGGATTTGCAGCCGCGCGTGGCGCACCCTCCCGGCCCCATGCCGCCGCTTCTCTACCTGTCCCTCCTGCCGGGGCTCGTCCTCGCCTTCAACCTGGACACGGGCAACGTGGTCATGTGGAGCGGGGACTCCGGAAGCCTCTTCGGCTTCTCCCTGGCGATGCACCGGCAGCTGCAGCCCGAGGACAAGAGGCTGTAAGTGGGTCCGTGGTGGGGGAAGAAGTTGCCTGCATCTTGATCCCGGCTGGGTTTTTTGGAAGGGGGCGAGTAAATGGGGGTGGATGGGATCCCCATAGGGTACCTCGGCTTGCCTAGCCCTAGATGCGCCGCGTACTGGACTGGAACAGTTTCTGGCTCCCGAGAAGCCCTAATGCGGATCCTCTGTCTTGGGCAGAGCTCTTGGGCTGGGCTGAAGCGCTGATCGCCAGATTCCGAAGTCGATTTAAGTTGTTTGCTTCTTTTGCGGGGGTGGGAGGAGGAGGATGCAAACGTGTTGCGCCCTTGCGGCGCGCGCAAGGCCCGCAGGTGCGATCCGGCAGAAGTAACCCCACTCGCGCGCGCACAGGCTGCCATGCGAAGCGGCGCGGTCGCTTGGATCAAAGGATCCGTCGCTGCGAGCCGCGTATTCCGTGCTTTCCCCACTCTTTGGGGTCCTGTCGGGGATGGAACCGCTCAGCTTTGGGGAAGCGGAGCCGGAGGCGCTGCTTATTCGGAAGTTTGTTCTCCGCCTGTGCCCGCCTTGCGATTTCTCCACCAGCGGGATGGAGGTGTGGAGCCAACAAGCAGGGTGAGGCTCCCAAGGACACCAACTTCCGCCGGTGTGTGTGTGTGGGAAATGCCTCCCTCCCTCTCCCCAACCGACCCCCGATCGCGGATTTGCATGGAGTTATTTTGTGCATGGGTGTGTGTGTGTGTGTTATTTTTGGCTAAAACCCAAAATGGGGATCGAAGGACCCACCAACCACCTGTTATGGCGGGCTGTGTTATGATAGGGGGGAAATCAAGAGTTGCTGCAGAAAACGCGACGGACGGGTGGGACGGATCAAAATGTCGGAAGGGAACTGGGTGTTTTGAAAAAAAGTGGCTGATCCGGGTTGTTGCTCCGGGAGCAACTACCTGAGGGAGAACTAGAGTTGGGGATCCATTAAGCCAAACGAGATTCTCGGGAAAGGCTCGGTTTGGAACAAAACAAAACCTGCCCCAGTGTGTTTGCGCATTCCTGATCCCTGCTAACAAAGAATGCCGACGGGGGTGTAGGGCAACAAAAGGACCTTCCCCCTCAGGGAATGCAAACTTTTCAGGTCGGTTGAGCAGCAACGCCGAAGGGCGGTGCTAAAATAAGCAAGTGTTTATATGCTCCCCTTCAGGAAAGCACGCTGAAAAAGGCAGGATGCCCGGTTTGAACAGCATTTGAACGGTGCCATTTTTTGAAGAAGAAGAGGAAAGAATCCTTTGGGTTTTTGTGGGTGTGTAAGCTTTGCCCAGTCATGCCAACACACAGCTGAGATACATGTCTCTCATGACAATCACAAGATATGCTTGCCCCCAACTTTTCCTTAACTCTTCTTGCGGACGGACGGAGTAAACAAGCCGCTTAAATGAGGGAGAGGCTTTTAAATTGGGCTGCCACCTGGTTCAGAAAAACAAGCACAACCACAATCTGGCCTTCTCTGTGCTGTTAACACAGATTTGATCTTCAGAAATCGCCTCAAGTTCATGAGACTAAACATGATCATCTGCAGATTGCTGCAGAAGACCCTCCAAGTGTCCTTATTCTCCAAGGACGTCCCTGATTTAGAGAAGCTGCTTCTGATTTGATCCTGGAAAAGCTGCCCAGAGTGGCTGGGGCAACCTAGTAAGATGTGTGGGGTATAAATAGTAAAATTATCATTATGCAATGGGATGTCCCTACTTTCATCGGATAAATGTTGGAGGGTATGGGAGCCACCACCACCAAGGCCACCAGCTGTGTCACCTCGTGAAGAAGCAGTGTTGGCATTGGTGCTGATTCCCTGAAAGAGCTTGTTAGATCTCACCCAAATCTCATGAGGATGTAGGCCTGGCCAGGATGCCTTTCCTGCTATACCTTCTGGGCTTGACAAGGCATGTGACTCTCACCTGTTCTGATTTTACTCCAGCTGACGAATCATACACCTCCTCCCCTAGCTAGCAAGCCCCACCTGGGCTGTGGAAGTGCCACCCTGCTTTGCCAAACCACCTCACCACCACCACTCGTGGGACACTCGCCACCACTGTACCACTGCAGTGTTGGCCTAGGCGCCGATTCCCTGAAAGAGCGTGCAAGGTCTCACCCACATGAGATATTTTGCTCTCTTCCACATCTTTCAAGACTTTGACGAGATCTCACAAGATCTCGCACGAAATGAGCACTTATCCTGGCATCACGTCTCTGGCAGAGGTGTGGGCGTGGCAGGAGGCACGCATGAGGGTGCTGCCTCGGGGGCTTCTGCCACCTAAGGCAGTTACTTCATACCACTTCATAGGTGGGCTGGCCTTGCCAGAGGTCATTATGGGTATGCACACTGGTATCTCTGTGAGCACACACTTTCAGTGTTGTTGTTTTTTAAATTAAAAAAATTCAAGTTTCTCAATCTACCAGATTTGCACAAAACAGCAGCCGTGTGTATGTGTCTGTGTGTTGCTGCAAGCCAGGAAACCTGAGATCCATGGGTATTTGTTTACATGTACACATAACACCAAGGGACGCAGGTGGCACTGTGGGTTAAACCACAGAGCCTAGGACTTGCTGATCAGAAGGTCGGCGGTTCGAATCCCCGAGACGGGGTGAGCTCCCATTGCTCGGTCCCTGCTCCTGCCAACCTAGCAGTTCGAAAGCACGTCAAAGTGCAAGTAGATAAATAGGTACCGCTCAGGCAGGAAGGTAAACGGCGTTTCCGTGCGCTGCTCTGGTTCGCCAGAAGCGGCTTAGTCATGCTGGCTGCATGACCCGGAAGCTGTACGCCGGCTCCCTCGGCCAATAAAGCAAGATGAGCACCGCAACCCCAGAGTCGGTCATGACTGGACCTAATGGTCAGGGGTCCCTTTAGCTTTACCTTACACATAACACCTGTGATCTACCATGCTTGCACAAAAGAGCAGTCCAAAAATAAAAATAATTGATGCCTCACTCCAAACTAGGTAAGGATTTGGAGTTGGTGACATTTGGAGTTGTTGCCTGTCGCTTCATTTCCTCCCCCTTTCCTGCCCATCTCCTGGGCCCATGGGCGGAGCGAGGGGGGGGAGCAGAGGAATCCACAAATATTGAAAAGCATTGAAAATACTCAGCTATTACCAAGTGCCCCTATTTTCCAGGGACGTCCCTGATTTAGAGAAGCTGCCCCTGTTTCTGATTTGATCCCCTTTTCCTTAGGATGTCCCTATTTTCACTGGAGAAATGTTGTGGGGTATGGAGTTATCCGACCCTCAAGCTGTCTGAAGGCAATCCTGCATAGGGAGGTTTGTTCAATGTTTAATGCTTTGTTGTGTTTTTATAGGTGTTGGAAGCTGCCCAGAGTGGCTGGGGCAACCCAGTAAGATGTGTGGGGTATAAATAGGAAAATTATCATTATGGAATCGAACGTCCCTGTTTTCATCAGAGAGATGTTGGAGGGTATGCTGCAGATGAATCAGCTGTAAAGGAGTAGAGCATGAGACTCTTAAGCGCAGGGTTTGAGCCCCACTTTGCGCAAATGGCAGCGGGTTGGACTAGATGACCCTTGTGGTCCCTTCCAACTCTACAATTCTGTGATTCTAGGTGCAGGTTGAAAAACGGAAAACGCTTGTAGTTTAAATTGTATCATTGCTTGAACATTTGCAATAAGAGAAAGCTGTGTGCAGGGACCATCTGGGTATATTTTTTGAAGTCACACTTTTGGTCAAGACTAAATAACCAATTTTATCAGAATCTGGTTAAAGAGCATGGTAAACAGGTGAAGTGATGCCACCTTTAAGACCAATGCAACTGTGTTGTGTGGCTTGTTCATCTATAGGTAATTGGTGAGATTTATTGCTGTATATAACACCTCTTAACCTGAACAGGTTAATAACTGGTGGGAAACCTCTGGTCTGTGGGCCAAATATTTGGCCTGTGAGTTTGTTTTGCGAAGCCATGTCCACTTGTCTTTTACTTGATATCATATACATGCATTGGAGGGGATTGTGCTAGATGGTCCTTGGATTCTGTGATTCTGTATGATGACAGGTGTGGGGCAGGTGAAGATACTCCTGGGCCAAAATGGGGTTTGCAGAGCCCAGTGCATAGCAGCCTGCTGATTGTAAAATTCTGGTTGTCAGCTGATCAATGCTTTCAGAGAGCTGTGCTTGGCATTTGAGGGGGGACTATAACTCATCTGATTGTCAGGGCTTCAGAGCAGGGCAGTCTGCAAACCCCAAATATCATCTCATTCAATAATTTACATATAGTCCTAGGTTTTCATAAGTGCAGCATTTTTATACATTTAGCACAGGCTTCCTCAACCTTGGCCCTCCAGATGTTTTTGGCCTACAACTCCCATGATCCCTAGCTAGCAGGTCAGGGATGATGGGAATTGTAGTCTCAAAAACATCTGGAGGGCCGAGGTTGAGGAAGCCTGATTTTGCACTTTAGAATGGCGTGTTTTTACGTACGTTATCTTGTATTCCTTACCCCAACCTTGTGCGATCACCCAGCATTATCCTAATTGTAGATGTACAGTTAAGGCTGAGAGTGTTGCTTACGGCTTGCTGACTTCATGGCACAGCTAAAATTCAACCCACAAATTTCATATTCTCAGCAGTGCAATCCTGTGCATGTCTACCCAGAAGTAAGTCCCTTTGAGCACAACGGGGTTTATTTCCAGGTAAGTGAGCATAGGATTTCAACTTCATTCTCTTAGTCCTATACTCACATTTCTTGGGAATAAGGTAAAGGTAAAGGGACCCCTGACCATTAGGTCCAGTCGTGACCGACTCTGGGGTTGCGCACTCATCTCACTCTATAGGCCGAGAGAGACGGTGTTTGTCCTCAGACAGCTTCTGGGTCATGTGGCCAGCATGACTAAGCCACTTCTGGCGAACCAGAGGAGTGCATGGAAATGCCGTTTACCTTCCCGCCGGAGCAGTACCTATTTATCTACCTGCACTTTGACGTGCTTTCGAACTGCTAGGTGGGCAGGAGCTGGGACCAAACAACAGGA